GAATTGGGAAACTTGGGGTCTAAATTGGGAAAAAAAGATACTATTTTCCATTGGGAATGGGGCCGATATTCGGCCCCAAATCTGGCAGATTGAATAATCAAATAACAAAGGAAATACAGGTGTGCTGACTGAACCTTAATTGAAACTAATATGCCATCAAATTTAGGCAAAATAAGAGCTTGGAAAAGATTTATGCAGAAACCCCTGAAAAAGTACAAACATCTTCTGTACTGTACTCATGCTCAAACATACATTTTTTAGCTCAGACTCAAGTACTTCAGGTGATAGGTCCGACTTGAAGAAATTCAGAGGGATTTAAGCGAGATATTATTTCATGATTTGAGAGAGTTTAGAAAAAGTTGGGATGAGCACAGATTTCATGCTTGAGAATGAGATAAAAAAAAACAATACAGGAATCCAGGTGTTCCTGGTCGCAGTTTCATGAATCTTCCTTAATTTCAGCTTTCCTGTGTGACATAAGATTTCCTGTGTAACTAGGGCACAAGAGCTAAGGATGTTCTGATTTAGCAATGATTCTCACCTTGTAAATCTTGGATCTTCGGACAAATAAGGGGAAAGATTGATGTCAATAAATGACCCCCGTTGTGATGGACTTGTGAAACAGAGTCCAATGCTATATCATATTGTACTACTACAAAGCTGAAGAGTTTATAATTACCTACCAGATTCCATTTGCTTTTGAGGGCTCCGTGGATTTTCTTTATAAAGTGGCCAAATTCCTATAAGATGGGCTATGTGGAATTTCTTTATAAAGTGGCCAAATTCCTATAAGATGGGCTATGTGGAATTTCTTTATAAAGTGGCCAAATTCCTATAAGATGGGCTATGTGGAATTTCTTTATAAAGTGGCCAAATTCCTATAAGATGGGCTATGTGGAATTTCTTTATAAAGTGGCCAAATTCCTATAAGATGGGCTATGTGGAATTTCTTTATAAAGTGGCCAAATTCCTATAAGATGGGCTATGTGGAATTTCTTTATAAAGTGGCCAAATTCCTATAAGATGGGCTATGTGGAATTTCTTTATAAAGTGGCCAAATTCCTATAAGATGGGCTATGTGGAATTTCTTTATAAAGTGGCCAAATTCCTATAAGATGGGCTATGTGGATTTTCTTTATAAAGTGGCCAAATTCCTATAAGATGGGCTATGTGGATTTTCTTTATTAAGTGGCCAAATTCCTATAAGATGGGCTATGTGGATTTTCTTTATTAAGTGGCCAAATTCCTATAAGATGGGCTATGTGGATTTTCTTTATTAAGTGGTCAAATTCCCATAAGATACAGTTCACACTTTAAAATTTCCTTTTTAACGGATTATTTGTCTCCCAAAAATAAGACAGAATAACATCTTTCCTAATTGAATGAAAAGCCCTGGAACTTCTATATCGAAAGACCAAGTCTGTCTGCTCCAATGAAAGGCCTTTATAGACAGATCTGACTATACAATATAGGCCACAGGTGGGTATTCTTATACCATATTGTGCCATGCATAGATACATTAAGTGGTAAGTGAATGTTGCAGAACACACGTCATTAGACTTAGGCCAAACAAAACAAATGTTTCCTGATATCAGATGGGAAACAACTACAATTTTTTTTCAAATATACTGCAAGGATTACTATGCCTGTAACAATTTCTTGAGAACTAGAATAACAAGCTTACAGTTAGTGTTGCATGCAACACATGTCCCCTGCCATAAATTACTGTATTTATCAGCAAATAAACCCATGCCTGCTAATAAGCCCAACAATGTTCTGTTGAAAAGCAAATGGGAGCGCTATATTGCTTTATAAACTACCACTGTATGAAGTTTCATCCAAATTCATTAATTCCATTCTCAAGTTATTGTCCGGAAACTAAAATGTGACAATTTCTATTTTTAGTCACAGTGACCTTTGTAGTTGATCTTTTGACCCCAAACAAAATCCCACACTATATTGCCTTATAAACTACCACTGTATGAAGTTCGATCCAAATCCATCAATCTGTTCTCAAGTTATCGTCTGGAAACCAACATCTGGACAGACAGACGGACACAAACACTATAGTCCCCTCCGGTTTCACCGGCAGGGGACTAAAAACTGAAGGGTAGCAAAAAAAATTAGTTGCTGGAGTAACAGGAACAAACAATATCTTAGTTAAATGTCTTACTACAACTTAAGTGCTGTACCATTGTTTCTTGGTGAGTAAAATATTGTTCACATGAATTTTCTAAATCAACTCATTTGGGAAAGGGCCTTTTAATCTCATTTTGAGATGTAAGAAATTACAGTATTTTCTGGCTTGTTCGCCGTTTTTCACCAAATTTTTCTATTTTGTCTACATATAAATCGCACTGGAATATAAGCTGCACACTTTCTTACGAAATCGTAACCATTGCGTTGCACAAATATTAACAAAGACCCTTGCATGCTGACCAAATTCTTATAGTCCTCAATTATTTCTTCTTTTAACTTATAGGAAGCCATTCATATAGTAAACAAGCATGGAGGTCGTCCTAGATTTGACCTATAACCTGATGACCTATTGATCCAAGGATGCAAAAGGCTATTGTAAATTTCTGCTATGTCTTCTCAGTAACCACGAAGTCCAGAAGATATTATTGTGATTCATTTTAAAAGACATGATTAATTAAAATCCACAAGAATGTTGTTTTAATTTCAACCTTCAAATCATCCTGTATACAGTTGCAAATGATGGTCCTAGACAACCTGTTTCAGTCACAAACACATGACAGGCAGGTACTTAGAAAACACAGAACCATCTCATACCTGTATGCTGCCTATTACTTTTTTACAATCCTGCTATTTTCATCAAAAAACAAGACGCACCAGTATATAAGCTGCATGCCTGACTCGCAAGGAAAAAAGATGTGGCTTATAATCCGAAAATAAGGAAATCAGACTGATTAGATATTTTTAAGAAGTAAACATATCTTTTGTATATTTGATCATTTTATGAAATAAATCTGACTGGAAAAGGGTCCTATATTGACAGAGCCTCCTGAAAAAGATCAACCTAATCCTAAACTTCTCTGTACAAGCAGTTATCCCACAGGGATTATGTCCATGTGTGTGAGGCACACTAGTCAATTAAGATGCATGCTGTCACATACAATGTTATAGTGCAAGAAGAATTAACACTTGTCATTTTTAAGACTAGCCCAAAAAAACAATCCTTAATCATGATCAAACTTTTAATATATTATCATGGGTCCTATTAAGCTTTATTGTTTAAAACAACAGAACCCACAATTTAAAATATGATTATTTTCAGAAAATTCAGAGTCCAATCAAATTCCTTTGAGTACAGGACCCAGGGCCGATATGTGGATTTATTACTACTGAGTATTTAATCCACCATCATTTTGCATCAGAAAATTGCATCAATGTATTTCATTGTCAGCTGCTTTCAATAGTTACAATGTACTAGATCAGCAAACTAAAATTTTGTGTATTCTATACAGATTATTCCCCCTGTGTCAAACGGATTAATCACATTACTCCTCCCAGGTCAAACAGACGAATCACATAAACCTTCAAACATTGCTACTACTGTTGTAATGTGTAATTGTTTGATCTTCAAACAGTGCTTTGTACTTTAATAAAGTTAATGTTTGAAAATGGGAAACATGAAATCTCAAAGCATTAGGGCATCAATTTAAAATTCATTAAATGGCTCATGTTTTTAGTATTATACTCTTAAAGTTACATGTTTTTCCTGGGACCCTCAAATTTTCATGAATATTTAGATCCAGGAACCAAATCACATACGATGGAGAGTGAAACTGTATCAATTTTGATGGTCCTTTGTTATTTAAGCACTCAAAATGCAGTTTTGAGTGTCGGAACCCCACACCCCCCCCTGAGTTCTAGACATTCTTCAAAGACCATGCAACCTTAATTAACTTAAAACACTCTTAAACTTGCTTCTACAGTATCTGCAGTAATGAGAACATTATAAGCACCTTCATCTTTTTTTAAAATCAGATAGAAAACTATGATTATGCAAATAATGAATCACTGAAGCTTAATATCTAGTCCACATGTCAGGATATCATGCCATATGCATTATTAGAGAAACCCTTGTTGCATCACTGATGCATCATAATCTAATTTAGCTTTCATAGCACCCAGATATGTGTAAATTGTAGATCGATTAAGAACCTGACACTTTGACACCTATTCATTCCTTGCTGTGTTCTGTCTTCCTCATTACCAGTGCTCCAGATAACTTTTTTACATGTGGGGTTTTCACTCCTACCTTTATAAATTGAGGGGTTTTTCACCCCTGCCTTCATCAAGTGTATGGGTTTTTCCATATTAGGGTAACACTGAATTTGTAAACATTTTTGACAGCGCCATATTTGCTATGCGACTGGTTTATAATCACGATCAAGAAAGCGCTTGTTACGAGTTTCGTTTACTCGATAAGTGTCTGTTTGACTTAGATTATTGAGTTTTCTAACTATGTAATATTGGAGCCGGACATTGATGCAGAGTCCGGATTTCGCACGGGTTAATGACGCAAATCTTATTTTTTTCCTAGCGTGAAATTAGAAATATTGTGCGTGAAAACGCATTCACGCAGGCTATCTGGAGCACTGATTACTGTTAAATGAGGGAACTGAACCACCAACCCCAAATTGGTAAAATTCAATATTCATCCCCTGGTTTTCAAGCATTCTTCCATACCAGTACATTGTAAACATAAGGGGAACATTGTGTGTGGCTGACAAAATGTCATACAATTCACATAACATACCAACTCTTAAATACAGAAATAGAAATTTTCCAGCCTATGGAACATTTCACAAACAAAAGGATTATCCCTGCTAATGTTACTAACACATAATCCTTAAGACCTACCTATACACTAACAGTAAAATGTTTATTTTGATAGTCTTCACTGATCATTATGGATTAAATGAGCAACTAAGCAATTTATGTCATCTATCATATAATAATTACATGCTTACCTCACGGACAGACATCCCATGGAAGTCTTTCTCAAGCTCCTGAACAGTGGCAATATTCCTCTGTAAAAACAATTTGAGACAATTATAGCTATGAAAAACACTTAGTTCAAGCAAATTTACTCAATTGGAAAAGCATCTTTTAAAGAGCCAGACCCACTCTGTTACAGATATTTTTTTATATTTCATTGACTGGAAATGTTGTTGTATACTAATAGATAACATATAAATAAAGACTTGTATAAAGTTTCGAACTTGAAATTGAAAGGGTACCGGAGATATCGGTGCTGGAATTAGTCTCATTAATCAACACCAGGATATGAATATTGATGAGGAAATGTCACGTGATATGTTCAGACGCGGTCAAAATCAAAACAAAAATGGAGGAAGAGGTGAGTAGTACGTCCATGTGACATCGCTTGTAAAGAGATCTTACCTATAAATGCAATCAATACTCTATATATCCTGGGTGGATATCATCTAACGTATTTATTGATCACATCTTTCAATGCTTAGATATGACACAAAAATGTGCAGATTACGAGAAAACTACGATTAATTGCAAACAGGCCCTCAAATGGGTGCTACAATGCAGTAACGAACATAAAGAACATCGCGAAATTGATCTATCTAAAGCGAACATTCGATGATAAGAGTATTTATGATTTTAGAGTGATACTACACGAGAGAGCAAAACAGAGAGTGATACAGAGTATGAACCAGCCGGTCGAGGGCACCATCTTCCTTCTTTTCGCCTCAGTCTATCAAAACATGTTTTCTTCCCTGCTTCGATCGAGGAGTGAGTCTGGCTCTTTAAATTTTTAGAATTGTGACATATAGGGTGAAAAAGCAGGTAAAACAATCAGTGACAGAGGTCAAACCAGGTCTCTAGCATAAGTGATTTCTCTTACCATTATTTTTTTTCACACACTAAAAACAGAATATTTCCAATGCAGAGATAAAAAAATATGTCCTGTCCAAAAAATGAGGAAAGAACTTGTCATAGCTTCCAAATTCCTCGAAAAAAATCATTGTTTACTGATTTCTGCAGACACAAAGTTGAGATTCTGTACAAGCTGACAGGTAAAAGATGACGGGTCATGCTGACCACTCATTATAATCCATAGTTCTAAGTTCAAATGAAAATTGTGGGGAAGTTTTACAATTATCATAGTGATCTCTTTAAGAAATATTCTATTTAACCCTATCAACTTGGCCCCTCTTACAAATAAACATCATACAACTGGTTACTCATTTTAGACATTTGCGCCAGTTTCAATTTTACAATATATTTTTCAGCTTCTTTTAAATGTGGCAGTCATCCATGCTAAATAATTATCACATCTGACTGACACGTGCATCTCAAGTTCAAGAGAATATATCACAACCTTCACTAATTACCCCTTGACACTAAAAGCAATTTTCACCAAAGTGGGATTGTAAACACACATATATAATAAACAAATATGTTGGATTGGTGTTTAAGATTTAAAAGTAAATTCAAACTGTATCTATTGAAATGGCCGTCGAAGAAGTCACAAAGCACTTGACATTCATCCCGTGACCCACAACATACACACATGTGCGTATGCAGTACACAATCGCCAGTTTGTTTACCTGTTCTATGACACTGTCATCTCCAACGGCCCAGCGCTTGGTTCCATAACTGTTCATTTCGGATTCGTTTTGAGGTCGCTGGAAGAAATAACTCACGGTAGCATCGTCTTGAGAATGTTGTGATCTGTTCCCCATGTTCACGTTTGGGTGCTGTTGCCTTCCAACAACACCCGCCATTTCTGGCTGTCCTCCCAACATCCCAGGATTGTTGTTCCACGAAACTTCATTCATTCTTAAAACTGGCATTTATAACACATTCTATCCTAACCTTTACACGACCTGAAAGATGCAAACATGAAAATAATTGCATGACACGGACATTTTTGTCTGTTATCTGCATCAACCTAATATCAATGAACGATAAATAATAACATGGCGGGAGTTGAGACAGGAAGCTGGTGTTTATAGTTATTTATTTCCGCTCTGGACAAGGTTATCGATTAAATTAACGAAGTCATGCAAAATTCAACCTCTTTTCATTCATATGCACTAAAAATTAAAGTGTGATGGTCAGAAAACTCACCTAGATGACATCGGATTTTTCTAACCCTCCTATCCGTTCTTTCACTTCATGGCGATCGACATTGTTTTTGATTTGAAAGTGCATTATGGGTAACATGTGCCAGACACAATAATGACGTCACGTGGAGGGAAAGAAGAGTGACAGGTTGAGAAACACGGAAGTGGAAGTTTGTCACATGCTTGACGAACAAAGGTCACAATATTCAATTAAATCGCGACATGTAGAATCACGTATTTGCTAATTATAACAAAATGTTATTTCCTGAATTCTTCTAAAGCGCCGTCCTCGTTACTTAAGCGCATGGCACGGATCACCCCCCATCTTTTATAATACTGTTACTATAGACTACTGAATGTTACAGGCGTTTTCACCATTGCCCTTTGCCCCAAATACTTTAAGAAATTGTTGCAGAAAATTAGAAGAGAATCCATTAATTTGTACGTTCTCTTTATTTTTCTTTGATTGTTAATTTAACACTTAAAATCCATCTATGAAAATTTGTTATTTTTATAGCATTTTATAAAACGAATGACGTATATATGTGCAATATTGAACCGAAATGTTTGGCAGCACTGATTTATAGATTTTTTAAAACATCAACACCAGCCAGGAAAAATATCGTTCCTTTTGATTTTAAGTAGACTTTTATTTTTATCCTGAGAGTTCAAGTTCATATCAATTACATGAACGACTCTGATGTCATATTCAGACTCGATACTTTGGTATCCGCGAAAGTCAAAAGATTCAGGTATAGAAGTGCAGGCAGAAGCGCTTTTTCCGGGGATGGAGAAAACGAACCAGTGCACGGAAATCGGGGATTTCATATATATATATGATTATTTTCATAAGTGTGAAGAAAACCGTCTCTTCATAAAGAAGCATTATTCCAGCAATGGTTTGCCTTAAATCCAGTTGATTTAAACAGATTTTCTCCTCCTGAAAGCGCCCCCAAAAAGTGAACGATAACCAATACAAAGTTACTATTTTCACTATATTAGATCGATATTGAAAGAAAAGAAAAATACAACCAAGGATAAGGTGAGATATACTGTATATGTGGATAACGAGGGCTCGGTCGGTTATTTAAAACGATTTATTTATTTTATCTACTTCCGCAGATGCGTATCTCCTAAATTGTAGTTGTCTTTGGTAGCATATGCAGCTACTGAGGACATAGCTCGATGCGCATGCGCAGATTTCTTGCTCCAGGGGAACGATTTTTTTAGTAGAGGTTATATAGTGGCATTTCAGAAAAAATATTAATACGTCATTTTGTAGATGATAATTACAAAATGTATGTCTCTGATCAGTAAATTTAACATTTCTTTGTGACATCTATGTAATCTTTTTAATTTGTAGATGAAAATTAGTTGTGTCAATTTTTACTTGAAACTTACACATGAATATCTTTCATAGTCTTGACAAATTTTGAACAAAACGATTATTTTGATAACGTCAATGTGAAGGAAAAGCAATATTATGAAAAATTTTCAAATGTATGCCTCTGACCATCAAGTATAGTAGCTTTCCAACACAATGATATAACTTTGACAAACTTTAATTCAAGATTAGTTGTGTAATTTTTTAGGTGAAAATGACACAAAGTTTCACTTCACGGAAGTTTTTTTAAGTCCCATTGCTGTACAGGTAAACACGGCATCAATGTACGTGTATCGATGAGTCATTAAGACGGACTGTTGTTTACGTCGAGTACATATTTATATTGTTTTCTCATCAAAATACATTTGATATCTTGGAAATAAAGGATTACATCTGTAATTAATTGAATGAATAATAAAATATAAACGACATTTCCATATAGCAGCAAAGCTATAACCAGAGCATAGTTCACAGTATGTGAATATCAACAATCACTGGAGTTCATTTTATTGTCTCGGTTATTTTTATCTCATTTATTTATCTGTAGACATATGCGTTGTCTCCTAAGTTGTAAAAGGCGGTGGTGACGGCTTCAAGGCAAACAGGCAGAAGACCTTTCTCATGTAACCCAAAACAAGTGTCTTAACCAAGGACACATCGGCACAGATATTTCACAGCTTCCCCGAACCGGACACCGCCTAGGACAGAGTGCGTCCGCCGGACACCGACTAGGACAGAGTGCGTCCGGAACCATCCCCGAACCGGACACCGCTTAGGACAGAGTGCGTCCGGAACCATCCCCGAACCAGACACCGCCTAGGACAGAGTGCGTCCGTCGGACACCGCCTAGGACAGAGTGCGTCCGGAACCATCCCCGAGCCGGACACTGCCTAGGACAGAGTGCGTCCGGAACCATCCCCGAACCAGACACCGCCTAGGACACAGTGCGTCCGCCGGACACCGCCTAGGACAGAGTGCGTCCGGAACCACGAACCTTGTTGACGTGTATTCATCTAGCTGATCTATCAATATAGGCCAGCGATCTATCCGATTAACACCTCAGAATGACCGACTGTTCACGAGACTATAAACCCAACAAATAAATTTGCAAATGTTAATATCAATTTTAGACAGACAACTTAAATGTATAAACCAACAATTCAACTGTCGCGTATTAGGGCAGTCGTCGCTTTGACATGTGTGACCCAATTTTGGAAGTCATTTAATGGAATTTGTCTCTAGACCACCATGAAAACATACATCATTGTGCTCTCTCTCTCTCTCTCTCTCTCTCTCTCTCTCTCTCTCTCTCTCTCTCCAATGAAATTTAATTTTGTATGTTTTTTATATTTAAACAGTGCTTGTGAATACTTAAAAAAATATTCAATTTTTGAAAGGGAAAGTACCCATAACGATTTACTACATCACAGATAAAGATGTTGGCTATACCTTGATTATGATACCGCTATGTAGAGGACAATTTACACTGGTTAAGTGTAACAAACATGATAATATTGCTCTAGCACATCACGTCATTTCTGGTAAATATAAAACGATGTTATGTATGTCGGCGCGTGGTCAAAGTACAATGCACTATGATACTTTATGACGATCAAAAGTCTCAACGTTCTTTTATCTACCGATATCAATGTCATATTTCATCCGGTTAATTTGTATACTAATGGGTTTTTGATTAACACAGAAAGAGAATTTTACCAAAGAAAAGTAAATAACACATTTCAACACAAATTTAGAATTAGTTATAATCATACTCCTATTAAACCATTTATCACAGACGTTCCGTCATTTCCAAAACTCGTCAGTGACGCTAAGGCTCTATCTAAAGTGTTGAAATCTAGGAGATGACTTTTGAAAAGAGCGATTCGATGAGTTAAATAAAACAATTCACTACCTGACATAATTAAACAAATATATATGTATGTATCTTTTGTAATTCCTCTTTTATACCGGATGTTTGAACAAGTTCATTGACGTAAATATTTTATGGAGATGTATCTCAAAACTAGACAACATTTCACCATGAATGCATTTCGGAATTATTCAAAGACAAAGATAATAAAACTGACCAACCAAATTTCTCACTCTGGCACAAGTTCAATTTTATTATCTGGGCCCTTATCTGCTGTCACAAGCTCATTGCTATACCATCTATAAATGAAGAGTGAAACGAAGGGCAGTAACTCTTGGAGATCAGAACGATTATCACTAACTTGCAATATAGTTTTGTATAGCACTGTATAAAGGTACGCAACTCCGTCATATTTATCTTACATTGTCACTAAGTATAGCTAACTAGAAGTCAACTTACCGATTAAACTGTTTAATTAATCAATAACATGACAGTGATTCCTAGTTATGACGGAATCAGTCGGTTTGAGACGAATCATTGTGCCAGCCTATTTCTTCATATGTATCAACAATGAAGAAGGAAATCACAATTAATTTGGGGATTAGGATGTTGGAAAAATTAATTGAATACTATATAACGATCCTTAGCGTATTTAACGAACAAAATACGGAGATGTAAGAATGTCATTTATCGTATTAAATAGACAGGATATCTAAACGTAAACTATTAACACATCCCTGTTTCCCATTTATACAGCTCAAGGTCAGGGATAACGTTGTTATCTGGGTGTTTAATCTCACAAACATTTCTCAGTCAGTATTAGCTGACTCTTCACACTTTAAAGCTCTATCTGGTGAGAGATAATAATCGTTTAAACTACAAAATTTAAAGTAAAGGTAAGTTTCACAACAATTTGTTATAATGTTATTTTATGACCAGAGTTGTTGTTTACCTCAATTGGTACAGTTTATAAATAAGTAAAATCCTTGTTGATGTAAAATATCTCCTGTACCTCGTTACTTCCATGAAATCTTTATGTAGTTAGGACTCCCAAGTGAAATATTTTATCTAAAAACGTAACATTTATGGGCATTTTTACCCCAGCTTAATGAATATTTTTGCGTTTCAGTAACATGGTGACCGCTGTATTGAAAACCGCCATCATTCTGTCGTTGGTTTCTTGTTGTCACGCAGCACCGACTGTGACAACAAAACTAGGAGAAATCAAAGGCACTGTAGAAAATGGAGTATATCAATTTAGAAATATTCCATACGCAAAACCACCCATAGGAACTCTCAGATTTTCTAAGCCAGAAGAACACGGGCCATGGGACGGAGTTTTGGACGGAACTGAATTTGGGCCGTCGTGTTTGCAGGAATGTCCACCGGAGTTTAAGAGAATGTTACCTCACCAAAGACAGTCTGAAGATTGTCTGTCTTTAAATGTGTATACCCCCAAGGATCCCTCTGCCGCGCCGGAAAAATCCGTAATGGTCTGGATTCATGGCGGAGCCTATTCATTTGGGCAAGGAATGTATTTTGATGCATCACACTTAGCACTTACTGGTGACGTCATTGTTGTAACTATGAATTACCGACTTGGAGTTTTCGGATTCCTTACAACCATGGACGATAGACTACCAGGGAATTACGGATTATGGGATCAAAGGCTGGCTTTGAAATGGGTTCACGAACACATTAGTTCCTTCGGAGGAAATCCCAGGTCAGTCACGCTGTTTGGTGAATCTGCAGGCGGCTTCAGTGTTTGTCTCCATGCACTGAATCCAACGAATAGAGGACTTTTTCACCGCATAATTACTCAAAGTGGAGTCCCTACTTCAGTACTAACACTGTGGCATACAGCGAAATCATTTTCTTTGAATGTTGGAATTTCTTTAGGTTGTACAAACGACACTTTGGAAGAGTCGAATATTTCATGTATACGTCAAATTTCAGCAGAACGTCTCCTCTCTGTCCAAGAAGAATTATTATCAGTTCCAGATCCGGCAATGAGAATAGAAATCCGAATGGGTCCAGTAGTTGACGGCGTGCTGATTCCTGATACTCCATTCAACTTGATAAACGACATTTCTTCGCCATCACATAAATTCTTCCTCTCATTGGACTACATCACAGGCACGACAAATCAAGATGGGTCAATTGCAGCTCCTAGTTTAATCAATATTGCAAACTATGCTAATTTCGACATTAACAATGGCTTTCCTACCCGTGTATTCTTTGGAGCTATTTTCCCGTCATTGGTATCGGCGTTTTACGGAGATTTAGTTCGGAATACATTACCAAAGACTTATGTTTGTCCTCTTTACGAAAGTTCTAATATGACTGAACAGGCCAGTAAAATTCTCGATGCTTTTACTGATGCTGTTTTCGTCGTACCAGCGATCACCACACTTAACGTCCATGCCGATGGTAACGACAAAACTAGCACTTATCAATATTTGTTTGAAAGACCACACCTGGATCCAATGAACCACCAACGCCTTCCTTCGTGGGTCAAAGGCTCGGCTCATACATCGGAATTACTCTTTCTTTTTGGAAATCAAGGTTTATTTGGAAAATACAACATCACAGTTGATCCAGTAGATTTGACCCTGTCACGTAAAATGATGAAATATTGGAGTAATTTCGCTAAACACGGGTAAGTGATGTCCTGTTCCTTTTGGTGTTTGTTGTTAATACATATTAATACAGATTAGTAATATTAAGCAAGGACTACATATCTGAAAAATTGTTGCAAAAATATTAACACATACTGCTTTTTCTGACTATAAGTGATATAAAATATCTTAGAATAAAGACAACAATTCTTCAGTTAAATAATAATAAAATAAAACAAAACAAAAAAAAAAAAAAACAAACAAAACAAAAAAACATTCCAACACTTAAAATAACTAATAATAGTTTTGTCGCCAAATAGTGACGTAATCTATACGCATGTTATTATGTATATTTGTGTTTACTGGGTTAACGCCCTTGAAAAACAGGGCCATTCTAAGGCGAGTGTTCCTAAAATAGAAGTTCTTATAACACAGCCAGTAGAAGATTAGAGTGTGACGTTTCGATGACTACACTGTCACCTTCATAAGACAAATTATCAGTGTGGAGCGTATTAGCACTGACGTACTTAGAGTACGAGATGGTATGGAATCGACCAACTTTTTGACATGGCTCATGGCTAACTCACTGATCAATATAAAGAGATCCACCATTACGGAGAAATATTTTGACCGAGGACACGACTCCGTCAGCATAGACCAGTTTGTTTCTCAGATTCTTGTACATTTAGCGATCAATTTAGATAAAAGACGAATGATCTGTTTCATTGAATTTTGATTTTTTTAAAATTTATACCTAAATGTTCAACATTAAAGACAGTTAAATAAGAATGTGTTTATTTTAATAAACATTGCATTAAACATACAGTGTAAAAATTATCCTTTATTTTTTTTCAACTTCTAAGAAAACAATTCGCATGCACCATGAAATATGTATACCGAAACACTCCGTTTGTGATGAGTTCCTTAGCCTCTATTGTCATTAGATAATGTTTAATTGGACTACAGGTTCTGTCATTGATTTGTTACTATATTTGGTTACGTGTTATCTTTGCAGAAACCCTAATTCTGCCGATTTGCCGCCGTGGAAGGCATACAACACTGCTGAGCAAGCTTACATTAGCTTGGATTCAATTATTACCACGGGAAACAGTCTTTATTCGGAACGTGTGACCTTGTGGGAAGAAACATTGCCAAATTTATTACAGAAATCCTCGCGCTACACAAAACCATAGTGTAGTCTTCCGTTTTATGGCCGATAAGGTACTTTAAGAATATCTCGACACAAAAAAGCATGGCATACTACTATGAAGAATGAGTAATACGTTTTAATTTTTTCTAAATGGTGTCTTCATACGACGAAATTACCCAAAGGAACTATTCTCTATCACCATTAAGACAGTTATTCATTTGCTTTTTCCTATATCGATCGCTTTGTTACGACGAAGTTGTGATATAAAACGAAAATGTTACATATTAGTCACATTTCGAAACATCGAAATCTGTTGAAAGACAATGTCGGAAGGAAACAGTTCTCATATGAACGAAAAGAAACGTTATATATCGTCATTAACGATGATTGAAAAATCTAAACTACATTGTCAGATTTGAACTCGCAGCCACCTTATCGAAATGTGATATCTTATTTCTCGTCATCAAGATCAGAATTAGAAATCGACCTCAAACCACATTTCTCTAATTAATTTGTGTGTGTGTGTGTGTGTACTTCGGTAAATGGGACAAGAAAAAATCAATCCGATTCTGATTTGATAGCTGTCTTTTCAAACATTCGCTGAAGTGTTTACATGGAAGTGAACACAGCAAAACGAATTTTGAAGATAAAGCTGAAGAATGAATTAAAGTATACCATAGAACTGTTTCATCCTTTTAGGTCTCGTCACTGATGCGACGAAGCCTAGGGGACGACTCCAAAACATAAATATGGGCATAAACAGGAAGGTGCATGGACTCCAAAATCCAATAATTGATATTTCGAAATTTTTAGATATATTAATGGACGATGTAATTCATACATACAATATTCAACAACCCGATTGATTTAATGAAATGGAAAAAAATCAAGTTGGAAGATGAGGTATAACAGGAAAGTAAACAACACGAGTTCGTGAACAAACAACTGTTTCAGAGTCATCAACAGCTTAATGGGTAGGAAAGGTCCGACTGTTTTCTGAGAGCATTCGTCCAAAAATAAATTTTGGGATAAAAAACTAATTTCTTCATTATAAATCAATTAGCTTAATATAAAAATAGTGTTGATGAAAGTCATAACAGGATTTATATTGTGCCAAGAAGATATTGTTAAACCTATCACGATGTTCAAAACCGCTGTAATTATCTTTTTACCTCTTGACTACCATGGTTCTTTGGTGTCACCATGGTATCATCAGTTACAATAATCAAAATGACCTTAGTGTGTAACCGTTGTAACGAGTAAGCTGAGATATGGATTATTTCATCATCGACCAAGAGTGATGAAAAACACTCTGCAACCGCTGGGTTTCGAACTAGCAACCTTTCAGTCTCTAGCCGGACACTCTACCTCTCGACTAGCCACAGCTAGTAATGTGGACCTATACTCTCATCTTCTGCACATATATAATCCTGCCATATCAAGCATGTAAGATAAAGTGTGATGCCAATATCAGTGGCAGCCGTTTCAACGCAAATCCCTGAACCAGCTACTTAGATGAAGGAATCAGGAAATGAGTGGATGATATCAGTTGTTCTGAGTGACGGCAATGCAAAGGAAATCTATACAAATGAATAAATGAATAATTACAACAATATCGACTTTGTTAATTAATTCTGAATTCTAACCCAATTTCTTTATCTGACGAGGCCAAATATGACCAAAAGAAAGATTCAGAGAGACCATTCAAAACGTATGAATATTTCTCCCATACTTCACTTCATATAAAACTATGGTGGCATCCTTGACAACAACGAAGGACAGACTTTTTGTATGCTATCGATCAGCGTGAAAAACAATTTTGGGATATTTAAGATGTTATGTATAATTAACATTGTAGTCAAATTACCATGTGTTATCACTGATATCACAGTACATCAACATGTATCTCAAGAACACGTCGGTAGTTAAAACGTGAATGTGCAAAATGTAAACAAGATGGTTGGCGACTGTTTACTCAAATTTAATCATCCGCGATATAATCCATAACGTTGATAATCATATAAACTAATTTAGTCATTTCCCAGGTGCATAACAAATATCTATTTTCAAAATAATAATACAAATACAAAACGAAAAAATAATTAAAGATTCTTCAGTCATTTACAGAGGTGTTATTGGGGTACCGCAATGCACTCTGGGAGAGATTGGAAAGTAAGAAGAATAATTGTTCACCCATTGTGATCGAGATAGAGGATCTTGACAACCAGGAAAAGACCATTAAGTTGTAAACACTCGGTAAGCCTCGTGTTTGCCTACGTTTTCATCTTCCCCATCGGGTTGAGATCCTGTCTATCTAATTCCAAGTGAGGGAAGGATTCAGGAATGATAAACGTCTAATTATCCAAAGTGTTAAAAACATTCATTTTGATAAAGGGAACCCATGACAACCTATCCCTTCTGCAGACATGATATGCCACATTCAATGTGTTCTAATGACTGTAGACCTTCAAGACACCACCACGGCATAAAATAGTTAGGGTTAGGTTAACCCTAAACCCTAGCCATAGTGATCTCATTAAAAATATTCTATTTTTTATGTGACATGAAGCTGGACGTATTTTATGCTTGTTAGTTTGCTGGTTGGTTCCGTCGTTGTATACCTTGTTTGAGAACATGACATTACTTACATGGATTGACCAAGGTTTACATGACGGTGTCGTCGATGAAGCAGAAGGCACTTTCTCTTCAGGAACACTTGGTTTTATTCTCCGGATAGTTTTCCAGGAGTCTCCGTGTAAATCTTTCTCATGTTTTGCTCTAGTTTTATGGAATTTGAGTTTGAATTATGTTGCTATGTTCGTATTTTCTTGATTTTTATCGTACTTTTAAAGTTAGCATCGATCATTCTACTGAAATGCTCTTTACCTTTTCATATGGTAGACCACGTGTTGCGTGCGATAGATGGAATGAGTGTTTTTATGGGGATAGAATTGTTACCACATTCTGTCGAGTCCTGCTCCAGTTGTCAAGCATACAACATGTGGGGACCATATCAGACACTACCCTTTTCACCAAATTCGATAAAAAGGAAGGAAATATATGTACAACGGGAAAATCTACAAGGGCACCATTCGAAAACAAAAAGAAAAAAATAATCCAGAGTTATAAATGTCTACTAATTCTGCGACAACCATATAAATATAGGGCAATCCAAATAATACCAGGTTTTCAAAAAGAGAAGTCTTCGTGAATTCGTAACCAACGCATTTACCACAATGTCAACAAGTCGTGAAAACGCTATGACATTGCTCGGCTGCCATAGTTACCAACCTATGATGCCGATTGTTGCGCGGTTATTGCCAACACTATTTGTGTCAACAACCTGTCGCGTAACCTTCATGAACTAGGTATACCTCTGCACACTTGCTATCAACGTCAAGACTGGAGAAGGTAGTATATTTGATCTTCATTGAAAATGTCATAGATGTAGTGGTTATTGGAGGCAATTTGATGCTGTGGTGGATAACATAAGACTGGTTTTAGACAAAATTGATTTTTTTTTCGTATAAATTATTTTGTGTATAATGGCTGATAGTTTGTGGTGTTGACTTTTATTAAGTGGTATTTTGATATATTGATTTTAATGTTTTACATTACTGGGTAATATTGGATATTGTTGTATATATTCAGATTTATACGTATGCGCTTTTGCAGCATTTGAAATAATGGAATTTCTTGAACCTCACTATTGGGATTTTTACATTTCCTTCGATCAATTTTAATCTCCGTAGGCTCTTATCATATTGACGACAAACGACAAACAGCTGTATGATGTAGTTTTATTCATTGTTTGACTTACCTTATCTATGTCTATGACAGGTCACTGTCTCTTTTATTTCAACTTGTTTGTCATTGGTGCCGCATTTAACTGTATAAGTACAAGTGCATCGTAGAAAAGAAAACTAATCTGTATTTCTTAATTTAAATGTTCGTGTTCAGAATTCGTGGCAAAAAAGTATAAAAAAATTAGAGACACACGGAAAACATCAGTATACGGCATGACATATAATGGTGTTTGATGTTACTTAGCGTTGTTGGTCGGTTTGGATTGATGTTTGTTTTTACTGATATACTGTTTAACTGAAAATCATTTTTGTTTTGACTGATGTTTCTTGTTTTTGACAAATATTTGTCGTTGGTTTTTGACTGATGTTTCTTTTATAAAATGTATTTGTTGTTTTTAATTAATATTTGTTGTTTTCAACTGTTATTTGTTGTTTGTAACTGCCGTGTTTTGACTGATGTTTGTTATTAACTACTAGTTGTTGTTTGTAACTGCCGTGTTTTGACTGATGTTTGTTGTTATTAATTACTATTTGTTGTTTGTAACTGTCGTGTTTTGACTGATGTTTGTTAGGGTTGACTGACATTGTATGCAGATTTCCAGATGGTAAAATCCCAAATACATGTATATAGACCATTGTTAGTTACATTAACATTAAACTGATTTCATAAATTGAACCAATTTTTTACAAATTGTTACAATTTATTTCCGCATCTATATATATGCTACATGATTTTTTAATTAAGGAGACGCGTGTAACGTGTAATCATGTATTATAAAAAGAATTATTATTATGTTCTCTTAAACTGATTGTTCAGTTGAACTCGCGGCTGTTCCAAAGAATAAGTAATTTGATTAATGGCTTTATAAGTCTACAGAGCAACCTTATTTTCAATCATTATTTCCGCGAAAGTGCAACGTTTTTGCATCTTTCAGTCAAAATGGCTCCCTTCCGTATCGGCATGATGATGATGATGACACCTCTTCTAGTAATGGGACGACATAATCCGGTGGTTCGTACAAATATGGGACAAGGACGGGGCATAGTGGAAAATAATGTAAATCAGTTTCGAAACATACCATTTGCTAAGCCCCCACTTGGGCCCCTACGATTTGCCAAACCAGTTGCAGCTGATCATTGGAGAGGAGTACGAGATGCTACACAGTTCGGACCTTCGTGCATGCAACCATTTTATCCCGAAACTGACAAATTTCTACCAAATCTGAATAAATCTGAAGACTGTTTATACCTCAATGTATACGTCCCTGGAAAGGTAGTGGCTGGTTCGAACAAACCCGTAATGGTTTGGGTCCATGGCGGGGCCTTTCTTGTAGGTCAGGCGATGCTATATGACGCGTCTTTCTTAGCCAGTTCTGGGGATGTGGTCGTTGTGACGGCGAATTACCGTCTTGGAGTGTTTGGGTTTTTAAGTACCATGGATCCAAGTCTTCCTGGAAACTACGGTCTTTGGGATCAACGTTTTGCCTTGCAATGGGTACAGAAGAACATTGAGTCCTTCGGCGGAAACCCCCAATCTGTTACGCTCTTTGGAGCATCTGCTGGAGGTATGAGCGTATCATTGCAAGCTCTCAATCCAATGAACAAGGGGTTATTCCAACGAGTTATTGCACAAAGTGGAGTAGCATTATCCGCCGTAACTATCTGGGAGAATGCTGCAACATTTGCACGAGATATTGGAGTATTTCTTAACTGTTCCTCATCAACTAGTATACTTGATGATGCCTATATAAAATGTATGCGGTCCGTTTCTTCTGATGTGCTTGCAAATACACAAAATATTGTACTATTAGCACAGTCTATGAATCATGGACCAGTTCTACGCAATAACATGGGGCCAGTTGTTGATCATATTCTCATTCCGGACAGTCCATTTAAGTTACTGACAAATACTTCATCTCCTTCCTCTAAGTTCTTCCGATCGCTGGACTTCATGGCGGGAACCGTGAATCAAGAAGGTTCTCTTTTCCTAAATAGATTAGCCCACGTTGCTAATTCTAAGCACTTCAATTTCAAAACTGGTGTTCCTACTGGCGTATTTTGTGATTACCTGGCCCAGATATTCACGGCCACATTTGCATCAGTGTCTGACCGTACCATATCTTTATCAAAAGTCTGCGCACTGTACAGACGATCGGACGCAGTATCACAGGCAAACAGTGTGCTGAATTGCTTTGCAGACGTCAACTTCATCGTTCCAGCCATAGAAACATTAAATATACATTCAGTAGACAACCTCCTGACAGCTACGTATCAGTATATGTTTAACCGTCCAAGTCTCGATAGGACTTCACTTGAAACGCTTCCTCCGTGGTTTGTTGGGGCTCCACATGCATCGGAAATATTTTTCTTGTTTGGTGCAGAAGAGTTCCGCAATAAATTCAACATTACTGTTTCTGAAGCTGACATGGCATTGTCACGTAAGATGATGATACATTGGACTAATTTTGCGAAAATCGGGTAAGTATTGTCTGTTGTGATATTTCTCTACTATTCTATAAACTAATCATTGTTTATCTACCACCATGTTTTGTATATTGCAATTGTATTAGGGTGTTTGTTCATCTGTCTGGATATATTTTTGTTGGGATTACGTCCCTTGAATTATTGATGAATCTTATTATCACACAAACAAGTTTGAATTTATCAACCTTTTTATAAGTAAAAAGGCAGCATGTAATTTGTCAATGGATGTTATTTACGACATTTGTAAATACCGTGATATTTTTGTAGATTTGAATATGAAGCCCGATTGGCAATCATAGAATTAGTCAATAACTGTATCTTATGTACGTTCCAGCACCGTCGGTATGTTACACATTTTACTGTCAATAAGTATTTTGCAGAATACAGTACGGGATATTCGGTCAGATTGCTAATGTCTAAAGATTTTTATTGTTTCGAATCTGGAATCATATGCATAAAGAGATAGAGAATAATTATGGTGTTTTCTAAGTATAGTCAGAGGTAAAGGAAAAACGTCTTAAGAAAATCAAAAATCTTCAGAATACTTAAAATGTTTTTTTTCTGGTCAGAATTATGTAAAACAATAAGTAAATACGATACAATGTAATTACAAAAAAGAACTATTCTATTGTGATGGCGACATATATTCGGTAAGACATTACAATGCCGTATCCTATTCCAAACTGAAGGAGAGTGCTTATTTTCTGGTTAAAAGGCGGTACACATGGTTTGTTGGAGCGTACTTCTTCGGAAGTATCATTGAAGCCAAAAAGAAATGTATTGACACTGAGATCGTAAAAATGATCGGAGTTCCTGTTGCATGGTAATATGTTGTTGGTAAGATTACTATTACTACAGATTATAGTCATACCAACGGGAGTACTCTAAGATGGCTTGGTCTTGTTTTCATACGAGGCTGAATTTATTGAAGAGTTTAGCAAAACAGCCCACAAAGACCTTGCAAAGTCGTTTAAGTTCACTTTCAGAGATATTGATGACGTCATGTCTTTAAATAACAAGAGATTCATTGACCACGCCCATTATATATACCCACCAGACTTTGAAATCAAGGACACGGCATACTCTTCTACATTAGCGGCCCCTGGAGAGCCTCTTCTAGCGCCAGACATATTAGTTACAACATTTCCCCCCGGAAATGCTAACCTCCAGATTAGAAATGTTCACATTTCGATCCCTGGAGCGCTTCTTCCAACGCCAATTAGACATATTAATAATAACATATTTTTTTGCCGGAAATTTCGACTTCCTTCTTCATTTTGACCCCAGAACTTCTTCAAACGCTAATTAGACATATTAGCAATAACATTATTTTTCCCCGGAAATTTCGACTTCCTTAAATATTTAGACCTTTTCGTTGTAATAACGTTAATTTCAGTTGAGTATATTTTAAACTTAAATCAACATCGACCTCGCCTAACATTCCGTTTCTTTGATTTTTTTCCCAGAAACCCCAATATGGATAACAACCCAATGTGGATTCCATACGATATTAGGCAAAGTTTCTACATGGATTTCAACTCAAACGTGACGTCAAAATTCCAACTGTTTGAAGATCGCGTTTCACTGTGGCTGGGATCCAAATTAAATCAATTATCGTTCATACATTCCCCTGTCGTGGGGAGGGAGATATGATAAATTAAGATATTTATACAGTTGTTTTTACGTACCATTGATTATTATACGTACTATTATAATCACACGTCCTCTTCTCAGTTCTGGATTTGCTTCTGACCTCCTAATCACTTGTTAGCAAGCTCGAAATTACATGGTTAGCTATGATAAACCGCCCTAGCAGACAAGGCATATCATCAAGTGAAACCCTTGGACCTTAATGATAAGTTGTAAAATCAGTCAGATATTGTGTTGCAGATTTAAGACGTCAACACGTATACCGTTGAATTCATTTCAGTCAGTCTCCAATATGTTACAGTAGTCTTTCTGTAGCTCGACATCTTATCTCCTCTATCATAGTCAGACGATTAACGACAAACCCAACAAATTCAGTTCATAAATGTGTTTCAGTATTTATTCTCATTAAAGGATAGCAATTTCAAGGTTTCTGTTTTTCCGCTAACGATAAATGGAGCTCCTCAAGTTTATCCACCTCTAGAGTAGCAGAGCGTATTATCTATCAATACAGTGATACTACATGAAGCATCAGTTCTTGAAACACGCAAAATTGTACAATATCAAAACAATATAGAAATCAAATTCCAAATGTTCGGACAGCAATTATTTTAACCTTAAGAGGCCTTCTTCACATTAAATAGATGGTCAATTTAATTCAAAATTCGGCCCCGAAATGCCAGCATCCTGAAGCTGTTGTGTGGGTAATACAGACGATTTAAGTCGCAAATCAAATTTATTTCTTCATTGAATACATAGATACATAAAGATTTATTTTAAAAATTGAGAGCTACAATTCTGCGTTTTCCACACAAAGTACATAATGTAGACATCATTGCTGACAAGACATGATACAGAATATTTATAGACATTATTGCTGACAAGACATGATACAGAATACATACAGACATTATTGCCGACAAGATATGATACAGAATATATATAGACATTATTGCTGACAAGACATGATACAGAATACATGTAGATATTGCTGACAAGACATGATACAGAATACATGTAGATATTGCTGACAAGACATGATACAGAATATATGTAGATATTGCTGACAAGACATGATACAGAATACATGTAGATATTGCTGACAAGACATGATACAGAATACATGCAGATATTGCTGACAAGACATGATACAGAATATTTATAGACATTATTGCTGACAAGACATGATACAGAATACATGTAGATATTGCTGACAAGACATGATACAGAATACATGAAGACATTATTGCCGACAAGACGAGATACAGAATACATACAGACATTATTGCTGACAAGACATGATACAGAATATTTATAGACATTATTGCTGACAAGACATGATCCAGAATATTTATAGACATTATTGCTGACAAGACATGATACAGAATACATGTAGATATTGCTGACAAGACATGATACAGAATACATGTAGATATTGCTGACAAGACATGATACAGAATACATGTAGATATTGCTGACAAGACATGATACAGAATACATACAGACATAATTGCTGACAAGACATGATACAGTATACATATAGATATTAGTGCTGACAAGACATGATACAGAATACATACAGACATTATTGCTGACAAGACATGAGACAGAATACATACAGACATAATTGCTAACAAGACTTGATACAGAATATTTATAGACATTATTGCTGACAAGACATGATACAGAATACATACAGACATTATTGCTGACAAGACATGATACAGAATATTTATAGACATTATTGCTGACAAGACATGATACAGAATACATACAGATATTATTGCTGACAAGACATGATACAGAATATTTATAGACATTATTGCTGACAAGACATGATACAGAATACATACAGACATTATTGCTGACAAGACATGATACAGAATATTTATAGACATTATTGCTGACAATACATGATACAGAATACATACAGACATAATTGCTGACAAGACATGAGACAGAATATATATAGATATTATTGCTGACAAGACATGATACAGAATACATACAGACATAATTGCTGACAAGACATGATACAGAACACATACAGACATAATTGCTGTCAAGACACAATACAGAATATTTATAGACATTATTGCTGACAAGACATGATACAGAATACATATAGATATTATTACTGACAAGACATGATACAGAATACATAAAGACATTATTGCTGACAAGACGAGATACAGAATACATACAGACATTATTGCTGACAAGACATGATACAGAATATTTATAGACATTATTGCTGACAAGACATGATACAGAATATTTATAGACATTATTGCTGACAAGACATGATACAGAATACATACAGATATTGCTGACAAGACATGATACAGAATACATGAAGACATTATTGCCGACAAGACGAGATACAGAATACATACAGACATTATTGCTGACAAGACATGATACAGAATATTTATAGACATTATTGCTGACAAGACATGATACAGAATATTTATAGACATTATTGCTGACAAGACATGATACAGAATACATGTAGATATTGCTGACAAGACATGATACAGAATACACACAGACATTATTGCTGACAAGACATGATACAGAATACATGTAGATATTGCTGACAAGACATGATACAGAATACATACAGACATTATTGCTGACAAGACATGATACAGAATACATACAGACATAATTGCTGACAAGACATGATACAGAATATTTATAAACATTATTGCTGACAAGACATGATACAGAATATATATAGATATTGCTGACAAGACATGATACAGAATACATATAGATATTATTGCTGACATGACGTGATACAGAATACATACAGACATAATTGCTGACAAGACTTGATACAGAATATTTATAGACATTATTGCTGACAAGACATGATACAGAATACATACAGACATTATTGCTGACAAGACATGATACAGAATATTTATAGACATTATTGCTGACAAGACATGATACAGAATACATACAGACATTATTGCTGACAAGACATGATACAGAATATTTATAGACATTATTGCTGACAAGACATGATACAGAATACATACAGGCATAATTGCTGACAAGACTTGATACAGAATATTTATAGACATTATTGCTGACAAGACATGATACAGAATACATACAGACATTATTGCTGACAAGACATGATACAGAATATTTATAGACATTATTGCTGACAAGACATGATACAGAATATTTATAGACATTATTGCTGACAAGACATGATACAGAATACATGTAGATATTGCTGACAAGACATGATACAGAATACACACAGACATTATTGCTGACAAGACATGATACAGAATACATGTAGATATTGCTGACAAGACATGATACAGAATACATACAGACATTATTGCTGACAAGACATGATACAGAATGCATACAGACATTATTGCCGACAAGACATGATACAGAATATATATAGATATTATTGCTGACAAGACAAGATACAGAATACATATAGATATTGCTGACAAGACATGATACAGAATATTTATAGACATTATTGCTGACAAGAAATGATACAGAATACATACAGACATAATTGCTGACAAGACTTGATACAGAATATTTATAGACATTATTGCTGACAAGACATGATACAGAATACATACAGACATTATTGCTGACAAGACATGATACAGAATATTTATAGACATTATTGCTGACAAGACATGATACAGAATACATACAGACATTATTGCTGACAAGACATGATACAGAATATTTATAGACATTATTGCTGACAAGACATGATACAGAATACATACAGGCATAATTGCTGACAAGACTTGATACAGAATATTTATAGACATTATTGCTGACAAGACATGATACAGAATACATACAGACATTATTGCTGACAAGACATGATACATATAGATATTGCTGACAAGACATGATACAGAATATTTATAGACATTATTGCTGACAAGAAATGATACAGAATACATACAGACATAATTGCTGACAAGACTTGATACAGAATATTTATAGACATTATTGCTGACAAGACATGATACAGAATACATACAGACATTATTGCTGACAAGACATGATACAGAATATTTATAGACATTATTGCTGACAAGACATGATACAGAATACATACAGACATTATTGCTGACAAGACATGATACAGAATATTTATAGACATTATTGCTGACAA